GAACCAAGCATTTATCCTGACAATCCTACTCAAACAGCACCACATAACCACTACTAGTTGAGAGAAAGGTTCTCTGTATAGAAATATTCCAGCTAAAAACTGAAGAAAGCTTAAAAGAAATAGAATATCACCCTTTTTTAGCCTGTAATGAACTAATGGATCTCAGCATTGAATATCAAATGGTTGTTACCATCACACAAAAAAGAGACAAACAAATATTTTGTCTGCTGAAAGTCTATACTACCATCTATGAAGAACTCTGGCCAAAATAATCAATCCTGACTCTACTAGCTCTACATACAACTACCCATTTACAGGCAACAGGGAAGACAGAAGAAAATACTAAGTATCATCACAGGAGATAAAGGATGTCACCAAGATGGTAGAGTAGGAGACACCAGCCTTCATCCCTCTGCAAAAAAAAAAAAAAAAAAAAAATGTAATATAGACAACTATCAAAAAACCAAAAAGCTCTATGAGAGCTCAAGGGCCAATTTAAGAAATTGCAGCAACACAGAAAGGATGGCTGGTTATATCTACATACCTAAGATGCCTACAGATAGCTAGGAAAAAAAAAACAAAGAAGAGAAACTATTGGTGCCAACTATGCAGCAGGAACCATCATGGTCCCCAGCAGCCTGCTCCACACAAGATACTGGCATCTTTTGCCACTGAGGTAACCAATACCCATTCCCACCAGGGAACCTCAGAGAGGAAGGTATGGCTGTACATGCCCCTGCTCAAGAAGCAGCTGCTGTTGTGCAGCCCAGGACCAAAACTGCCACTTCTCCCAACCTTGCACATGCCCTTGACCTCTGAGCCACAGCCTCCCCACAAACACGCACACTCCAGACACTGACCGTGTGGCTGCACTACGTCCATCCATGCCTCAGACACCAGAGGCATCAACATAGTGAGTGAGCACGCACTCCAGGTACTGGAGCCAATGTCTTTCTATGCGTTCCCATGTTCCAGTCATTACCTCAGCTGTCACACAGAGCTGGGCTCTACCCTGGACCCCAGAGCCAAAGTAAGTGTGTGCACACCCATGCCCCCCTCCTTTTAGAATTGACCCCAAAAGTGCAGTCAACAAAAGAAAAAATAGACAAATAGGATTATATCAAAATAAAAAGTTTCTGCACAACAAACGAAATAATTAACAGAGTAAAGACATAGCCTATGTATTGGAAAAAATATTTGCAAACCATATATCAGATAAGGGGTTAAGAACCAAACTATATAAGGAACTCAAACAACGCTATAGAAAGAAAACAATTCAATTAAAAAATGGGCAAGGGACTTAAATGGACATTTTTGAATAGAAAACATATAAATGGCGAACACATATATGAAAAAAATGCTCAGCATTACTGATTGTTAGGGAACTGCAAATTAAAACCACAATGAGGTATCACCTCACACCTATTAGAATGACTATCACTAAAAAGAGAAAAGATAACAAGCGTTGGCTAGGATGTGGAGACAAGGAAATGCTTGTACGCTGTTGGTGGGAATATAAATCAGTATAGCCATTATGGAAAACTACATGTATAATAGGTTCCTCAAAACACTAACAATAGCGGGGAGCTGGACAAAGCAGAAGCCCACGGGCACGGCACTCCTGACATAGCCTGGGTGATCTTGCTCAACTGCACCTCCCGTGGGACCTGGGCAAAGCACATGCCCATAGCCCCGAGCACCCACTTCCCATTGTCGAAGTAGTTAGACCAATGTTGTTGCCTACGAGGCCCCAAGCAGGGCAAGAGCCAGTGCAGTCTCCACCTTTGTATATATGGGCAGACAGCACACTGTGGACCATCATCGTCCTGCGCACGTACCCTGTGTGTGCCCTGCATGTTCAGCACCACGGCTGCCCCAGCCTGCGCATATGAGCACAGCCCATGCATGTGAGTATAACCTAATAAAATTTTTCTGGAAGGCAGTTTGGCATTTGGATCATGATTTCAAATGTGCATACCCATTAACTCAATCATTTGTTTTTGAGGAATTTCTTCTAAGAGGAACAGACAAATACAAAAAACTCTGTGTGGGACAGGCACGATGGCTCACACCTATAATCCTAGCACTCTGGGAGGCCGAGGTGGGAGGATTGCTGGAGGTCAGGAGTTCAAGGCCAGCCTGAGCAAAAGCAAGACCCCATCTCTACCAAAAGTAGAAAAAATTAGATTGTTGTGGTGGTGCATGCCTGTAGTCCCAGCTACTCAGGAGGCCTGGGAAAGAGGATCACTTCAGCCCAGGAGTTTGAGGTTGCAGTGAGCTATGATGAGGCCACTGTACTCTACCTGGGCAACGGAGCGAGACTCTTTCCAAAAAAAAAAAAAATTATTGACAAGCAAAGATAGACATATATTTGAGTAACATAAAATACTGATATCAAATGACATGTTATCTGTTATTACATTTAAGTAAAATTTTTGTATAAAACTACTGGTATCATGACATATATTGATAGTCAACTAATTTAACATCTATTCCCAACCCTGTTTTCACTAGCCCATCTACATTAGTTCTCAGCCTCCCACACTGCTAGAGGAGGCCATGTAACAAAATTATGGCTACTGAGACCTAAGTAGAAATCTCCCAGGAACCTTTTAGAAACATGTTTTCCTGACAAAAGTGATCATCATTACTCTAGCTGTCTCTTCCCCCTACCTCCTGCCTTGTAGTTAGGTATGATACCTGGACCTGAAGCAAATATCTTACTGCCACGGAACAAGCCAACATACTAGAGATGGTGGATTGCAAAGAAAGAAAAAAGCCAGGTCTTTGATAACAGTCACTAACCACTGCAACAGCTTCCACTGCCCACTTCTGTTCTTCTTTATGTGAGATAAAGAAACGTCTTTACTGCTTAAGTCACTTTTAGCCAGAAGCATCCCAGATAGCTATTTATATATATATGTAAATAAATGTTTCCTATATAGCCATTGAGTATATTAAAAGCTTTTATAATTGTAATATTCTCTATTGGCAAGGATTTGGGTAATAGACACCTTCATTCAAATATTGTTGATAGGGTTAACTGCTATGGCCCTTCAGGTAGTCAATTTCAAACTCGATTTCAAAAGCCTTAAAAATATTCTTATCCTTTGTTTGACCCAGCAATTCCACATTTAGATATTCATCAAAGAAATAACAATAAAAGTATTATTACAAAGATGTTTATACCAGGTATATTTACAATATACCTAATACACTAAAAACAACATAAATATCTAAAAGTATAATGTTAGTCAAATGCTTTTATAATATGGATTTATGATAGGGTACTATGTAATCATATAACAAAAACAGGTAATGATATAGAAAGATATCTCAAAACAATATGAAAAGTAAAATCTTTTGGGGGGATAAAAAGTTAGAAAAATATTTTTTGTAAGATTAGGAAAATACAATGAAATATAAGTAGGTATTGCTAGATAGTAGAATTATTAGTAACTTTCATTTTTTTTGATTATCCATATTTTCTAAACTTCACATTTCTTTTGTAATAAGAAAAACTAAACTTTTGGGGTGTTTTTTTTTGTTTTTGTTTGGTAGAGATGGGATTTCACTATGTTGCTCAGGCTGGTCTCGAACTCCTGGCCTCATGGGATCCTCCCACGTCAGGCTCCCAAAGTGCTGGGATTACAGGCATGAGTCACTGCACCCAGCCTTAAAGTTATTTTAAATATACCTACATTTGTTCACAAAAAGAAAACTGGAATAAACAAATAGGAAGATGTGTAGATTAAAAGTTGTTTTATTTCTTTTCTATGAAGCTCATTAATTTTGCTTCTTTCAGTTAAAAAAAAAGATTTGCAAGAGCAACTTGATTTGACATCAACATATAAAAGTCTTACTTTTATAAGAATGGAGTGATATTTATTTTAAACAATTACTTGATTCTAGTACATTCAATATGAACACAAATCCAGGAATTTTAAAAAAAATATTCTATATCACATGTATTGGATCTTGGGGAAAATTTTTAAAAATTTATCATTGAGTCCCATTTCTAAAGTGAGTAGAACCAAATATAATACATGCTGATGAGCATAAGATCTGTGACATCAAAGCAATTGAGCCCCAAATCAGGAGGAACATGGATAAGTTATCTAAGCTTTCCTTAGTACATACTGTAAAAATCGTATCTTACAGAGATTACCTTTCTGGTCAAAGGTATACATTTTTATTCAATCTCTAATTGAGTTTCATCTAACTACAATAAAGATCAACCTCTCAGAAGCCAGGTGCTTAAACATTTTTCAAAGGCACCAATAAATTCAGTGTTCAACAAACAATTTCCAACTATGTTCCCTGGATAGTACAGGAGACTCAAGAAACTAATAAGTTTGTGCAACATGTTACAAAGGTAGTAACTCTTTCTGCTTTTTTCATAATCCAAATTCATAAGAAAATTGACTAAAACAGAAGAAAAGAGGAGAAGAGAAGGAAAGAGAAGGGAGAAAGAACTCAAAAGGTAAAAAATATTACCAATATATACATTCACATATCCAAACTCAATTCACACTTAAGAACAGAATAATTACAATAAAGAGCATTTAATTTTGGAAATTCTTTTACAGTTACATATAAATAAAGCTTTTTAAACACTTCAAATTAATGAAAAATAAATTTTAAGCACTTTAAGTAGTTAATAACACAAAAGTTGATTTACCACAAATTTCTAAACCTTGAGGGAAACACTGTTTACATTCTAAATCCTATCCTCTAACGCAAGGGTGAAGATGCATCTGAAAGCCAACAGTGCCGATTTTAAAGAAGGATTTAAAAGGGTTGATTTAATCCCCAGATTTTTTTCTTTAATTCCACCCTATCACCAAGAAAGCTAATAGACATAACACACTAAAAATCGTGGTTACTAAAGATGTTTTATCCAATCAAAGCCTCTATGTTTTCTAAGCTGCTCTGAAAGAAAAACTGACACCTGGAGAAAGTTACACCTTCACAAATTACTCCAAAAGTTAACTGTAATATTCAGGCTTTAACTATGAAGCCCCCCTAAACAACCAGAGCTGCAGAATGAACATTCGCTCCCTCCAGCTGCTACAGACAGCAGAACCACAAAGAGCACCTACTTATGAGATTACTCTTCCAGGGCATAAGAATATACTTTAAAAAGGTACATATCTAAAAACCTACAGTGAAGATGAATAATAAATATTTATATACTTAGAAAAGGGATATATTCAAAAACCTACAATAAAGATGAATAATAAACATTTACATTCCAAGCCAAAAAATTCCACAGTCTAAAAAGAAACATTTGATGTTTTCATTTCTGAATACTGAAGCAAAATAATGATTATAATAATTTTAATCAAACTTAAAAGGTATACCTTATTACCTTGTTGATATAAGGTATTCCACCTTTGAACAGGCAAACAAGAGGGAAAAATCCTTGAGGCATTTTTATATTCTTACTTGACAATTATCTGATAATTACCCCATCATTACCTGCTGATGAAGGATTCCATTCTAAATTCTTAGGATTTCTGATGCTACAGGCATGTTACTTCAAAAGTCCTACCTGGGAAGAGACTGAGAAGACTGACTGGAGATTTGTTGGTATCAATAGTTAGTTTGTGGCTTGCAGTTTTTGAAGGCTGACCTGGTAGGCAGATTAATTTCAGGGGAAGTCTAAATTTACATTGGATAACTCTAGGAATGCCTGAAATAAAGAGAGAAATGTAGATTCACAGATTTGACAAATAATTTGGCAAAAAATTTTGTACTACTAATAGTTTGAGTAGCAACACATCTTGGTTTATAAGCTTGTTGCCTATTTCATTTAGCATAATTAAAATAACTGTAAAGTGTTACTGTGATTCATTTTTTTACTAATTGCAAAAAATACAAGGCAAAAGTAAAATATTAAAAGGAGCATAAGCACAGCGTCTATCTTTAATAGTAGTACCACATTTTTAAAATCATCACGTTTGGATACTATATAAAAACATTACAGTTACTTACATTCAATTGCTTAACTAAGTCTTTAAGACCTTCAAAGCTCTAGCCCTAATCTAAGGCTATCAGCAAAAATGAGCAAAGTATATAAATTTTCTATCAGTAAGATTCTATATGACCACATTGACAAATTTTTCTACCCATAAACATTTTAAATCTTTAGCTATTTTTACTTATTGAAGATTCAAAGTATACTAATAGTTTTTGATAAATTATGAGTATGAAAGCAGTATTTACTGAAGTTCTACTGAAGTCCATGTCTATTTTACACATTAATATTAAGAATATTACTTTCATATAAATTAAATTTTTCTCAAGCCATTTAACTTTACATACCACTTTAAGTGACAGTCACTCAATTTTCAAATGTTTTCAATACTCATATATGCATATTGAAAAAGGTAACTGAATAAATAATGAAGAGTTTTATATAAGAATTTTTAAAGTTTAAAAAATAATTTCTTTCAATATTTTTACAGACAATGGAACTGAAACCAAAGCAAATTAGACTCTCTACCCATAAATCTAGAAAAGCAATTCTATAACCTTAGTGTTCTCTCCTTTTATTCTAGGATTCTGTTTTGGACTGGATAAGATGAAAGATAATATACAGAAGCCTATATCTTAGTATACTGCTGTAGAAAAATGGAAAACTCAAAATGTTCTACTGTACTTGACGGATCCACACATTAATTCCTTTATTTCTTTTGGAATCAGTGAGCAGCTTAAAAATAGCAAAAGCAGAAGCATTTAAAGCTTGGAGACATGATCCCAAAGCAGGATCCCTGAAATTAGCAATATATTTTGCTAATGCCAATTGGAATTGTGTGGCTTACTCCACATCCAAGCTGGGAGTACACTTTTCAGTACCACTTATCCACTAGGATAGTAAGAGATCACCAACAATGGCAAGCATATTGATATATGAAGTCAATTAACTACTTTTTCAGAGCATGTGGAGCATATTTGTCATTCTCTTCAATATAATCTATTATCCATCAAATCTTACATAGCTCATTTTTTACTCATAACCAACAGATGTTAAATTCACTTCTCCTGGAATCCTAGATGCAAAGTATAAGTGGTGTCTCTCAAAAAAAAAAGTCCCATGGTATTATTTCTTGACGTTCTGTGAGGTTTTCAGAGGCATGTGTATTTATACTTTACCATGATGAAATGCTTTGACTCAAAATATTACAGTAACATGATCTAAGATACTGCCCAAAGCACAACTATCAATAGCACCGCAAAAAAATTACAAAGCACTACCTTTTCCAACTTCAAGGAAATTTCTATATATCTTATAGATTCCCAGATTATGGAAAGATACCCACTGAGTATGTTTCCTCTGCAATAAATAAACTGCAGCCTCAATTAATACTACAGTCTGGAAAGAAAAAGGAAGCTGAAACCTATTTCTGTTTCCTTTATTTTTAATGAACAGCAACAAAACACACTTTATCTTCTGACAATTTTATATATGCACAAAGGGAAGCTATCTTCTATACACTTTCAATTAAATTCTGAGCTAATTGTTCAAACAAAAATTTGGCTGTAAGTGTTTTTCTAAAATTATACTGTTAAAACTGTGGCCTCTACTTCACTTGGACCAGGTCCTGACTAAATTTATGGTAAAAAAAAAAAAAAAAAGAATTAAACATAATCAACAACACTGACTTTATGTTACTGAGTCTATATATTTGAATATTATTATCCTAGATCTCCAAGAACCCAGAGGTAAAGAAACTGGTGGTATAAATAAGTTTTCAGAAACTTAAACAAATGGATTGCAAGCACTAATAAACTCAAGAAGAGAAATACATTGTAATTCATTGTAACTGAACTCACAGTTCAGCTAGGACAGTTAATGACAATATCACACACTGGAGCAACGGTCTGAATTTGCTAAGATTTGTAGAACTCCTCCAAAATATCTTTTCTCTCCAGGAATTATAAACCTGTTTCTCATAGGACATTTGGAAAACATTACTTTGAAAAATCATACTTAATAAAATAATTATGGCTATTTTTTAAATGATGACAACCTGAAAAGTTTCACCATTAGGAGAAAAAAAGAGAGAGTATGAAATCCTTTAGAAACCAGTTTAAGGAACCATACCTTTAAAAGAAAAATTTAAATGCCATTATTTTATAGTATTTACCATCAAATTGAAATCCAAGCATCTAAAAATGCAATCTCCAGTATTAAGACATGGGTTTATCAGAGGCACATTTCTATTGGGATTTATACTTTCTTAAGAAACTTGAAGTGTAAATTTGGCTACTAATTGCTCTTTGGGCAGTAGCTGTAGCTAAGAACATCAATACAACAGTTCATAAAGGTATGTGTGGATGTACACATGTGTAATAAAGAAAGAAATAATTGCATGTATTTAAAGATTTTTCAAGGTTGCTAATAGAACAGCTTTCAGCGTAGTTCAAAGAGGCTAACTGGTCCTAACTTTGCCTACCACCAGAGATATTTTCCCTATGTTAGCAAAACAGTCTCTCTATCTGGCTTATTCAACTCTCTAAGTTAATAAAGACTGGTCTAAATGACTATCCAATCAAATACAAGTCAAGTCAATTCATGATTAAAGAGTATAATGAATAAAGTCTCCAAGAGAAAAGTTTCATCATTTATTTTACTCAAATATTGGCCTAGTCATTCATCAGACTGACTTTGTTCTGCAGTCTTCTTACCAACTATAATCACCTCTCATTCAAATGCTTCCCTTCCTAACCTACTAGAGGAAATGGATGGTCATAACCACTATGGTGCAATTAATCACAAAATTGTTTCACACTCAGAGAGAATATTCTCATCAAAACTACCTCCAACAGAACAATTTTTTCAGGAAGAGAATTCTAATTACACCTGGTACACCCAAGAGCCCAGTAACACCATCGAATGGGAAGCCAAAATGTACTTTTAAAAAAAGTGAAAAAGAACATAATATAAAAGAAAAAGAACATATATATGTATATTAGAGTAGAATAACTATATCTATATATTACACATCTATTTAATGCTTTTAGAACTCTTTCCAGGGGCCTGCTAGAGTAATTTCGTATTGAAAACAAGGAACCCCAAAGCAGTAGCAATGTCTGGTAGCCAGAATTTCCTTGATCCCTTCCTGTTATGTCTGGCTACGTACTGTGCTTCATCTGCAGTCATGTTTTACACTGCCCATGTCGTGTAACTTTAATGCAGAAATAATGGAGACTAACCCTTATGGGACAACATAAAACCTCACTTGTTTCTCTTTTTCCACATATAAAAGCAGAACTGCTTATCTGCAATACAGCCTGAACAGATCAAGACAATAAAATGGATCAGTCTTTGAAATATGAAGCCTTGTGTGTAAGTAAAACCTAAGTGGCAACATATTATTTTCTTGCCTACTAGGTACCGCTGAATATTTCAACTCTACTCCCTAAAGCTTAATTATAATTTTAAAATATATCAGAAGAGATTATTAAAACCAGGTTTTACTTTATACCGAAACACTAAAATTTGTATAAATTGTGATTTCTTTTTTTTCCTCATGGTTTGGGCTGAATTTACAGTAAGAGGGAATAAGTTTCTCTCAATAACAACATTTAATGATTTTTTTAATACTTAAAACTAATCGTTTAGATAATAGTATGGTATTTTTCAATATTTAGTCCAAAATCTTATCAGTTACATGTACTCGTACAAATAAAAATGTAAATATCCACTATTAATAACAGGTTATTTTTAATAACCCAAATTCTAATTTGACAAGTATACTTCATTATTAAGCTCAACATTTACTTCTATTAAAATATTTCTCTGGCCAGGAGCAGAGGCTCACGACTGTAATCCTAGCACTCCAGCAGGCCAAGGCAGGAGAATTGTTTGAGCTCAGGAGTTCGAGACCGACCTGAGCAACAGCAAGACCCCATCTCTACTAAAAATAGAAAAAATTAGCTGGGCGTTGTGCTGTGTCTGTAGTCCCAGGACACTGAGGCGGGAAGATTGCTTGAGCACAGGAGTTTGAGGTTGCTGTGAGCTAGGCCGATGCCACTGCACTCTAGCCTGGGCAACAGAGCAAGATTCTGTCTCAAAAAAAAAAAAAAATTCTGATATATATTCACCTTCCAGAAATCAAAATAGTATGTGCTATGCAAATCAGGATGTTAGCATCACCAAAATTGTATGAGTAAATATTGTCATTATTTTTTAAGTATTTTAATTATATTTATTTATTACTAATTAATATTGCTATCTAAAATTTATCTTAAAATAACTGATAAACTACCACGTTAAGTCTACATCTAGGAGGAAAGACAATCAAACTAAGAAATACTTTCAGTGCCTGCTATGTACTCCATTAGTGTGCAATTCAAAGATGAGTGCTTGAACCCTGCTCTTAAAGAGCTCAGAACCTACTAAGGAAACCTAAGGAATAAACTTGTATTATGATCGGTATTATAGCAGAGTCATAAGCAAAGGATTTGGGAAAAACAAAATGAGTAACAATTAACACTGACCCAAGCAAGTTGAAGGAGGTAAGACCTTTGATGACATTCCCCCACAAATTCTAAACAAGACAAGATAGAGGCCCATAGAGTGAATACACACAGCATTCTTAGAGAAAGAGGTGGCTCTGTTGGGGCACGTAGAAAGACAATTTAAAATTCAGTGACAAATACCTTTTTATCTTAACCTTTATTTTAAGTAAAATAGAATAACAAAGCATGCAGGTAAACAACCAGTGACTTACAGAAATAAGTTGTCAACGACACACCTTTGATGTTTTTCAAAAAAGTCATTCTGTTCTTACTCCTAACTTCATTCTTTTCATAACTCTGACACAATAATGACAACTCTCTATGGAAACATCTACTATGCTCTCCATTGCAGGATCAAGACATGTATCATCGTAAAGAAATTTCTTTAGTTAAAACAGCAGTCCATAAGAAGATTTCATTTATGGTATAATACCAATTCAATTCATCAACCAAATTTTTGTTTTGAAATTCATTTTTTTCTAAATTATCTTTACACTTACCATCAGGATTTCGATCTATCCATCACGTGCAATGCAAAAAAGGAGCAGAGGAGAAAGAATGCAACAAGTTATCTGTGGTAAATTTGCAACACAATTTAATACACACCTGCTAAAATATAAATTAAAATTTTCAAGATTCTCAAAGATAGTTTAAATGACCATCCAATCAAACACAAATAAAATCAATCACAAATAAAGAACATAACATGAATAAATGAAATCCAACAATATATTTACATTGCCATTACAGAAGTCCATGAGAGTATCTTATTCTAGCATAAATGTGGCAAAAGGAAATAAAGAAATATGATCTAACAAAATAGCAAAAAAGACTCAACATGTAAATGTCATGAAGAGTATTAAATGAAAAGAAAAACTGAGTGAATGGTTAAATATACAATATTAATACTTCCAGTTACTCTTGCTTATAATAATTTCAATAAATACTAGTATGGAGTAATGTCATTTTTTGGTCTATAAAAAAGCATAATAGCCAAAATTGTGCAACCATAACCTCACAAACTGATTTTACAACTTTATGGTGTATGTGTAAGCATTTTGTCCACTATTACTCTTTTCTCTTTTTTAAATTTATTTTCAACCAATATAACTATTTTTCCTTGAAAATATATGAAATAATTACTTAATTTAAGGCATTAGCAGTCTCTACAACTATACATTCAATAGCATAAATAAGGTGTAATAATACCTGTGGTTATAAAGATGTTCAATTAATGATGAATGATCCAGAGATCTAAATAGTTATCACTTTTTTATTTCACAATTCAAAATTAAAATAACATTGAAAACCTCAACGTTCTTTTCAGATATACCCAACCAAAAGGTCTGTCATTACATAATCTTTTGTGGAAGTTGTTTTTTCTTTATGAAGCAAGCTTTATCAAAGCCATTTAAACATAAAAATGTTTATATAACCCCAACTTTTGAAAATATAGTAAATGGTTAGCATGGTTACTTCTTACTAAAAACAAATTTTCAAAACAATTTAAAGCAAAATAATTTATAAAGTAGAAGAAATGATTATTTAAATTTACTTAAGTTATAATATTATGCCATAGCAGAGCATATAGAGTTGCCAATGAATAAATCAGAAAATTCACTGAGACCAAAAAAAAAAATACAATTATGAAAAATATTGCCAAATAAGCAATACGGTCATAAATGGGGGTGGGAGATGAACAAGGCACTTTTTAAACTTTTAAAACTAAGAAAACTGCATAGAAATGTTTAAAAACACATATAATATTGCTGAAATATGCTAGTATCAGCTACACTATGTTTCAAAGTTTCTTTAAAAAAAAGCAATGACTACTAATTCTTATTTTCTATCAATCAGCTGATTGCCATACTATTACCATGAAGAATTCACCACACAGGGGGAAAAACTATCAAATTAGACTCAACCAAGTTGAAATTGACAATAATTGAATCTCACCTGGCCTTAAGACAGCCTTTTAAAATCTAAAAAAAGTTTCTTGGAAAAAATACTGACCGAGTTTTAATAGATTTGTTCTTAAATATTTTAACATGTAAGACACTAAAGAGTTTTTAGTCACTTAAAACAGTGTCTAAAACTCTGAATATTGCCTTAATGTTAGAGTAATCCATAATATTCTTTTTTTACTAATTCAGACTAGCCTTTAGTCCAAATAAATGAAATATGACTAGATAATATTCTTCTAATGGGAATAAAAATATACCAGATTTGCTATTAACTGAAAAGAGGAAAATGAACATTATATATAGAAATCAGCTAAACAGACTTACCACTACTGATAACATATTAAATTAGAACATATAATTTTATTTAACAGTAGAAAAGAATATTTTTTCAATTATACTTTACAATATGTTTTCCCATCTTAAACATACAAGCATTAAATTCATAACTCCAATAACTTAAAGGAAATGATTAGGCTTATAAATTTGTGAACAAGTATATGTTTACCTGTTGGTCTGGAATAAGAAACAACAGCATTTCCTTCCAGTTCAGATGGTGTGTAACTTTTTTTCAGATAAACAGAAAAGCCTACTGTTCTAGTCATCTCTGGTGCTATAAGGAATGTAAAAGTAATATAAATTACATAATTTGGGACAATTGTCATTAACAACAGTTAAAATGTATTAAGTACTCACTATATGCCAGGTACTATAATAAGCACCTTACACGGAGTAACTCATTTAATCTACACAGCAAATCTACAAGGTAGGTACTATTATTATCCCCATTTTTTTGCAAAAGGAAACTGGAATACAGAGAGATTAAGAAACTTGCCCAATGTCATACAGCTAATATCAGAGGTAGGAACTCTGATAACTCCACAACAAGGTACAAGGTATCTAGCATTCTATGCCACTGCTTCTCTCTACTCAGATGAACAGGTGGCATGAACAGGAAAAAAAGGTATACAAAAGAGCAAAAGAATTTTGGAGGAAAATAGTCTGTTATCATGGCTAGAATACAGACTTCAGGGGAAAATGGACGAGGGGGATTGGATATAGATGTAACTATGGTGACTTAGTAGATTGTGCATGTATTTGGCCTCCAACCTGTGTTAGAAAGCCATAAGAGATTTTTTTTTTTTTTTTTTTTTTTTTTTGAGATGGAGTCTCACTGTGTTGCCCGGGCTAGAGTGCCGTGGCGTCATCCTAGCTCACAGCAACCTCAAACTCCTGGGCTCAAGCGATCCTCCTGCCTCAGCCTCCTGAGTAGCTGGGACTACAGGCATGCGCCACCAGGCCCGGCTAATTTTTTCTATATATTTTTAGTTGTCCGATTAATTTCCTTCTAATTTTGGTAGAGATGGGGTCTTGCTCTTGCTCAAGCTGGTTTTGAACTCCTGAGCTCAAACAATCCGCCCGCCTCGGCCTCCCAGAGTGCTAGGATTACAGGCATGAGCCACCGCGCTCGGCCTCATAAGAGATTTTTAACTGGAAAAATAAATTGTTTAGAATGTGTTTTAGAAAGATAAATTGGAAGTAATGTAAAAAATTAGAAAAGAAAGTTAGCATCCACTGGATGGGTATCACCTACAAGATTCCTTCACTCAATCATTTTTTCACTCGTTCTATGAATATTTATTGAGTTCCTATTAACTGTCAGGCATTCACCCAAGGGTAAGAGGCAAAAGAGATATATTTTTGCCTCATGAATAAGAGACAGGAGCCTGAACTGAAGAGCTGCAGTAAACAAAAAAACAAAAAAAAACGAAAAGACTTGAAAGATCATTTAAACAAGACTAATAACAATTTTGATATAAGTGGTTGAGGGTGAGAAATTCTGTACCAAAGAAATCTTACTAAAGGTTGGCATTTATGACATGTCTACTATTTTAGTCATCATTATAGGTAACTTAAAGCCTCAAAACAACCCTGTAAGACAAATAACATTATCCCCTTTTTGCAGATTAAAATAACGGAGGCTCCAAGTGATTACTAAAGTAGCTTGCCCAAGGTTACATATCAAGTGAGTGTCAGAGCTAGGATTCAAACTTAGGCCAAACTCCAAAGCCAATATTCTTCTTCAAACATAACTGATTCCATAAGTAGGTCACTACAGAAATATCAATAAAGAAAGCCTTCCAAATTTTAGTATTTAAAAACAATCACAGATCCAACTTTAAAAATCTATAATCCTAAAAAATTAATTCAACTCAATAATTATTGATTTAAAAGCCCACGCTTGATTGATGCTTAGAGGGAAAATATAAGCAAACCAACACAATCATTGGTTGTGGGATGATTCCAGTCTCACTATTCAGACAAGAAATAACAGCCATGAAATAAACACACTAATATTTAAAAAAAAAAAAAAAAAAAAGCTTCACACCATGGTAGACTTCAAGCCAAAACAAAAAACTTACTCATAAATTCAAAGGTGAACTGATCACAAGTCAGTACTAATGGTGGTTGCACATAGATTGATAATTTGGCTTTCTGCAATACCACTCGATTCTGCAGTGTGACCTAAGGAAACAGAAATTGGTATTAATAGAAAATTACATTTAATCCAAATTGATAGACTAGCACTACTTAAAAATTACTAGTAAAAAATTAAGAAACATTACCTAACAAAAAATAAGTAGTCACAAAACATAACATATAAGTAGTAAATTAAAATAATCTACCAAGTAGAAACTGGGCAAAGGAGTTGAATAGTCTTTTCTCAAAAGAAGATATAAAGATGGGCAATATGTACATGCAAAGATGCTCAATATCTTTTGTCATTAAGGAAAACAAACTAAAAACCACAGTGAGATACTACTACATATCCACTAAAATGGTTATAATCAAAAGGACAGATAATAATAGGTGTTAGCAAGAATGTGGAGAAACTGGAACCCTTACACATTGCTAGTAGGAATGTAAAATAGCACAGACACTTTTAAAAAGTTAAACACACACACAAAAAAGGTTAAACACAAATGTACCATATATCATCACAATTCCATACCAAGAGAAATGAAAACATGTCTACCCAAAACTTGCAAATGTTCATAGCAGAATTATTTACAACAGCCAAAAAAAGTCAATCCAAATGCCCATCATGATGACTGTGTAAATAAAATGTGATACATCCATATAATACAACATTATTCGGCAATAAAAAGAAATGAAGTATTGACACATGCTACAACCTGTGAAACCTTGAAAACATTATGCTAAGCCATTCACAAAAAACCACATATTATATTATTCCACTTCTATGAAACGTACAGAATAGGCAAAACTACAGAGAAATAAAGTAGACTAGTGGTTGCTTACAGATGGGGGAATAGGAAATAACAACTAATGGGTATGACATTTCTTTTAGAGAGGACAAAATGTTCTAAAATTAGATTACGGTGATGGTTGCACAATTCTGCAAATTTACTAAAAATCATTGAATTGTACACTTTAAATGAATGAATTGTATGGTATGTGAACTATATCTCAATAAAGCTATTTAAAAATGTTCTATCAAAAGAAAAGAAAAATCTTCCCTCATGGCTATTGAATAACTACATCATGAAATATTATACGTGTTCATTCTTCCTTTCATGTACAATTATAGCATCATGGATTATTTATCTTAACAGTATCAGTATATTTCCTTTTAAATAAGTTAATTATTCTCCAAAGATTTCCTTACTAGGTGGATATAATACTGGTCTAGATACATATCAAAGCACTGCATTTTCTTCCATGGCTTAACACAAAAATATACAAGCTAACTAATTCTACAAAATATCAAAGAATAGCAAATATTGACTACTAAATTTCTAATTTCCAAACTAGTGCTCTTAGTTAGTGATGCTAAGAAAACCTTTCTACCCCATTAAGATTCAATAACTAAGAACTCTTGAGGAACAGTTTGTTTGGGAAATAGAGTGGGTATGGGTAGAGAAAGCCAAGACTTCTCTCACTCCTCCCTGATGAGAACTGTCTGCAGAAACCACAAGGCCCAAGGTTCTTCACTGGGCCACAGTGCTGAGAGGCATCATCTTCAGGCTATCAAAGAAAGGGCTTAAAAATCTGGCTTCCACTGTGTATGCTTTCTCTTTGGATTTGGTCTCCTAAAATTTCCAATCTCCTTTAGATGATTTCATCACACACGGCTAGTGTGATAAACCAGACTTAGCACAGTTACCTGTATAGGTACGGTTACTTAATCAACTGAGTCATAATCTCTGGGGGTTGACCTGGGTATTGGTATTTCTTTAGAGCTTCCCAGGTGACTCCAATATACCACCAGGAATTACTAGTTCAGAACCACAATTCTATATGGTACTTTTGCTATGGAGTACTTCAGTCTAGTTACTAGACTCTATTATATGAGACAGACACATACCATTAACTGACACAATTCAAGGACATTCTTATTGTTAAGAAAAGTAGTTTTATATTTTCTCTTAAGTAAAAAGCATGTATCATTTCTTATTTAACTATATATATTATGTACATAAAAAACATACAAGAACACACAATTGGCCTACAAACATTATATATATGTAATTAAATTTGGTAAATGTCTTGTGTTAATTTTAAGTGATGTGAGCATTCTGTACCACTTAAAAGTAAGTTAAACATAAAAAATTTGACTTATAAAGGAAAATTTTTTAAAAAAACAGCTATTGATACAAATAAATACAATAAACACAATGAACAAAGAATCCTCAATTTTTACTTTGTAAACCCTGGAAATACACTGGGAGTCATCATGCTACAAACAAAACTTCCTCAATGATGTCTGACCATTATAAACACAATACCTTTTTAGTAAAATTCTGATGGTAATTATGATAAGAAAAAACTATACAAGTACGACAAACAACTTTCTTTCAAATAGCTAGTCTACTAAATAAGCAGGACACAATTTAAGTATTTTACTATTAACAGTAATATAATGCTAGTCTGCACATATATTTTAAGATAAAATTAATAATATTAATGACAATACCATTAGCATCTTTATATACTCATGCAACCATGCTAATAAATTACTTACGTGCATTATCTCACTTATTCTCCATAACAGTGTAAAACACGCATTATCATACACTATTTTACAGAAGAAAGAAAACTGTAGCTCAGAGGCTAAGTAATTTATCCAAGGCCACTCTGACTGTACGTGGAAGAACTACAATTTAACTGTTGTCTGCCAGAATCCAGGGCCTATGTCTTTAAGCAACTATGGTTAAGTCCCAAAATAACTTTGCAAATAAAAAAGTATCCCCATTTTACAGTTTAAAAAATAGAGCTTCAGAGAAGGTAAATAACATGCCCAAGAGCATCAACGTAACTAGAGAGTTGAAAACTGTGGCCGGAAAAATCTCACGAGAGCTCAGTTTTAAAAGTGAAAATGAAAATTCCTTAAAGTAGTAACAAGCCATTTGAAAAGAGCATTCTGATTCTTCCTAACACGATGATGTCTACTTAGACAACAATCACAAAACTTTACATGGTTACAAAGAGTTTGCATTTGGTTTAGATGCGTGATCATGATGGCTCTCACAGACAGATTTACTGAAGCCCAACAATGGGCTAGGCACTTTCAAAATGCGAATCAAGGAGATGTGTGACGAAAATAACTACAGTAACAAAGAATAGCTGTGTTTGAGCCAAAAAAAAGAGTTAAAGACTTGGCTAGATCATAAACCAGATATTTTAAGAGGAAAATAATTATAGAATATTAAGGAGAAAATATAAAACATTAATACAAGAATTTTCCATGCTATTTTCTGCTTCTAATGAAATGAAATATAATCCTTAGGAAATTTAATACCAAATTTTTATCCTAGATATAGAAATATGACTCCAAAGGCCAGGTCTGAACAACCGCTCTGCCTGGTTGCCTGGAGTAGATGGTCACGCGTCATGCACACATACTCAAGGTAGCCACATCTTCACTCACTTGGAACGGATGGAAAAATTTTCTCAATTAACAGGATTTATTATGATGGAAACTTGCATGGTTATATATCTTGGCTGCTGTTGTTATAAAAGGCCATAAGGAGAAATTTATAGTAGAAATTTGTATAGAAACTGTCAGACAGGATCAGGAAGTCATTGTGTCTGCTCTGTGAGTCCAGCCAATTTTGTGCAACCCTATGTGTTACATTCCTTCTCATGCTTTTATAATGGCAATGAGAAAGAGAGTTGTGACTTAGGTATTCTCAAATAAAGTAAATTCCATGAATAAAGGAGAATTTTCCAATAGTGTCATGCTATCATTTTAAGGTGCCTATTATACATGAAAGCCTAACTGCATGAGAGGGAAAGGTGTGCTTACTTACAGCAATAAATCCTGGTTGGTTGGGGGCGAAATTAGCATGAGCAATGTTATCTGGTTGAGGTACAAGATGTCTTTTTGCAATTTACAGTGTGCTTCTGAATTATTATGTGTATGTGTCTGAACATTATCAGTAGATGGATGTAAAAGAGGTTTCCCTACACAAGGGCATAGATCATTCCTGGAACTCTATAGGTATTTTTTTTTTTCCTAAAGTGTTTGATTTCTTGCCACTAATGCTTTTCCAGACTCAGAAGTATTAATGAGATAGAGCCTTTGATTGGACAGGGGGAAGGGAGACTGGGGAAAGACCACCCTTGTTTCCAGTGGCAAGAATCCAAAAAAATTAGCTTAGGAAACTGTTATAAGATTGGGCTCCCTTCATCTTTGACCAAAGATCTCCACACTTGGGCCACCCGCTGGGTCCAGTATAAGCGAACACAATTGGTAAAGCCTGGTGCCTGTCAAGCTCCTCCAAGGACAGCAACCCATAATCTAAGAAAATATAAAGGCCTGTCCAAGTTTTGACTAAGTGGATCGCCAAAATCCACAACTTTCCCTGGCTTCCAAGGTCTGGGCAATGATAAATATTTTCAGCTTAATAATGTGCTGACTGATTACCACATTTTAATCTAAATGTCTTAAGAGGGTTCTACATTTGAGTTCTAGTTCTAAAATTCTACAATGACAAGACTAAAATTCTTAACCAAAACCACATCCTTTAGATTCTATTTTTCCAGGACTATCAATTTGTCACTACTCTACTTTGTGGCTTCTTCATTTAATATTTTCTTGCTATAAATATATCCATTTAAAGCTAATGTTATGGCAGATAGATGGCTAAGAATTCTTTTCAAACACACACATAATCACACACAGAAGAAAGATATTATTAGCATTCCTGTGCTTCCCTAATGTCATTTCACAGTGTGCTAAGTATGATGCAGTAATCAACTGATTGGTCATATTATGAATGGTGATGACACAATTCCTTTAGCACATTTAAAATGTTAACTTTATTTCTAAAGAAAAGAGCTTGGATCACACTATTATGTACTTAAATAATGGTAGGAATAAGTCATAATATCATTTGTATTATATATATATTGCTATACATGCAATTATCACTTTTATAATTACAGATAACAATGAAGGTTTTCTATTCACTATTCAAAGCTGAGGAAAATCTATAAATGTCAAGTCTTTATTTTACATTTCTATAAGCTACCTACAAGGTATCAACAATGACAGATGTGATGAAATATGTAATATTATTTGCACATTACAGACTAAAACCTGGTACAATACCTTCACTGTGATGGAAGGGACAAGGTCAGTTCCCACGTCAACATCAGCTGCTTGCTATAAACACAGAAGTGAGAAGGCAAGAAAGAATGATTCCAATATTACACAGCAATGATTCAACACAATGGATGCAATATATACTTCCCACTGCCAAAACAGGGAACTAACTATAAGGGATGTATCATTCTAATGACAGATTAAAAGAGTCAATGTGGCTTTTTGGATGTCTTTATCTGAAAATTCATAGCTAATATTCAAAAACTCACCCCCCACAAAAAAGGAAAGGAAAGGTCACATATTTTATCAAGCCACTCAATTTCCAAACTTACTTAAATGTTGAAACTATTAATTCTATTAATTTGTTCTTTATATTATATAGAAGAAGGCTTCCCTATATTTCCCAGATAAACATGCCATTCAAAAGCCCTAAAAAGGTCCCTGCATTTTCAACTTGCCAAAAGTATATTCTATTCTGATTAACAACATGTATCTAAGACTAATGATAGAGAGATCAAGTGGCCTTATACCTGGAAAATGAAAGTGGAAGTATATTTTTTTGGTACCAGTACATATCATAAACTAATTCAGTAGATACTCTTTAAGCATCAGCTTGGGTTACCTGGTCCTACCTCTTAAAGAATGCATAGTATAATATAACAAATTAAACATTTCCTTATAAGTTATAACTCATTCTTCAGAGTGGTACACTGAAAGGAAAAAATGCTCCCTCAATGTTAGAATAAGACAAAGAGGTAACATATTTTCAAATAATACCCATATGAATTCCTGGGGAACAATTAAAATTATAATGCCTCTATCCAACCAATGAATATGATCCATAGTGCTTACTTATTTGAAATTTTTTTAACTAAGAAGAACTAAGCTACTTCTAGGCAATGGGGATCACTATGATACAATGGGCATGAGCAGAACTAAGAGGTGAGAGATTCATATTCTATTTATGGCTCCATAGGAAACCTTATTTGAACTCGTGATCTGGCTTCTCAATCAGGAAGATAGGATAGCAATGTTTTTCTCCTCTATAAAAGACTCCATTCTAATTTAAATTATATTACTTTTTTTGCAATGTGTGCTTTCATAATAGTGATTCAAAATAAAATATTAATCTAGGCTTTTTGCTCTAGCTAAAATCCAGGAAATGTTTTACATTTAGCTGTCCACAAATCTAGAAGAGACATCAACATCTCCTGTTTCTTGCTCTTTTCAATCCATGCCCAAACACCTAGATACTTCAAGGACAGCAGTCCTTTAGGAACATAAAATGTTGTCTTTTTATAGCCAGAGAGAAATAGCTATAAGAAGACATCATGGCACCATAGCCATATAAATTGTTGGGCTAATGTTTTCCAATGGGATGAATATGATACTCTCAAGAAATCTCTTAAGAAGGAAAAAAAAAAATAGTAACACAGGGAAAATAAAGCTGGAAAGAGACACCTAGTTAGAGGAAATAACACTCAAGGTTACCAATAGAGAAATATACATT